AAAGACAGACCCACCCCCATCCATGCCATCCCCACAGACCTTCTCCAGTGCATCCTTCAGGACTGGGATTGGGTGGTCCAGTGGCACAGGCTCTGGATAGCGGGGACACATCGGCATTGCTTCCGATCTCACCTCCATCGCAGATGGGCCTGGAAGCAGTTCCAGAGAGGAGGCTGGTTGAGTGGGTGGGCTGGCTGACATATGTAAATCGAGGATGACGCAGAATGAAGAGGTCTGGACGAGGCCCTCCGCAGCCAGGAAGAGGCCTTGTGTAAGGCAGAGGAGGGGCTGACAGACTTACTACTCTCAGAATTTCAGCACGTGACATGCATGGCCAGCTCTGCCCCAGCAAGGTACTGAGGAAGATCCTTGCCGAGAGACACGTGGCAGCTGCTGCCACCCACAGAAAACAGCCAGGCCAGGGAGACGCCAGGGGCCCGATCATTGTTTGCTTATTGCAGTTGAAGAGGGGAACTGCCTGGGCCACTATGCGCCGCTCTACGTTCAATGCGCTTTGGAGCACAGCTCCCCAGCCCCGCACACGATGAAAACGACTTGATTCCCCCTCCCTCGGGGTGGGATGTGCCGTGTTGTGGTGCAGCGTAGCGGAGGAGAAATGTCACTGCAGAACCATTTGCCAGGAACCATTGTGGCCCAATGACGGTTGGACCAGTGCAACCCCATAAGCAGAGTGGGAGATCCAGACTGGAGGTGAGTCCATTTGACTGTACAAGGAGGCTGTGTTGGTGTCATGGCATCTTCTGATGTCTTAAGAGTCTCTCACTAACCCTCTGGACTCTCTCAGCCTTACGTCCACTTCCCAGTGTATGACTTACACCCTGCACATGCTGCCTCTGAATCTTCCCACTGAATCTGCAGTAACTATGAGGAAGCCTGTGGGGTCTAAGCTGGCATGACCCACATGGCAAGAGATCAAGAAGGAAGGGTAGCAAGTAACACTGCTAACAGCAGGTGCAAAGGGATGCATTGAAATAGCCACCCACAGCTTTGACATGCACCTTCTGACTTCCTCCTGAGGGTGTAACTGACTCCAGCTTGGTTTCAGCAGGTATATCGGAATCTAACAAGGTGGAGGGGTCTTACCGGGCCCCACCTTACTCATCACCCCTGAGTTTGCTTCTGCATGGAGCCCCTGACTTCTGGAGGCAACCCTTTCCCATCCTCGCTGGCAGGTTTTCATTTGGAACCTCATTTACACCTGTTAGATCCTCCCCTCTCATTGAACCCACGGGTTCAATCACTCAGCCGTGTGTAATGCCATATAGAGCCTTCCATGCATGAGGTGGGGGCAGGGCTGAATCTGCTACCACCCTGGCAGGATCCAGTTAACTAATTGCAGTGCCCAATCCTGCAGTCTAGTCAGCAGACAAGCACCTCTTGACTTCAATGGCACCAGGCCTCTGGGTTCTGAGCCCCACTGTGTGCAGGCTGATTGCCGGATACTCACCGGGCTCCACCTTGGGGAGACTGTACTGCCACAGGAAGCAGCCCGTCATGGCCACAGAGAGCAGGACAAAGAAGATCAATGCCACATGGATCCACTTCACTTCCATCACGGAGAGCCTGAGCAGACTTCGCCCATTGGAGGCTGGCTGCAAAGCAGACATGGGTGTTTCAAGGACACAGAGGCTATGTCTACACGTCTGTTATTGGCTTAAAGTAGTGAAGTAGCTTTTCAATTTCCCTTTACAGTGCACTTTATGGGAGAGAAAGGCTATGTCTACACTCGCGGCTTCTTGCGCGAGAAATATGCAAATGAAACTAAGCATGGAATATCGCCGATCCTCATTTGTATACCTAATGAGCCCCCATTTTTGCATAAGAGGCTCTGGCGCCCGAAGGAGCTGGAATTCTCAGGAATAACGGCATTGTGCAAGAGGGTTTTTCTTGTGCAAGAAGGGGCAGTGTAGATAGCTCCTTCAGGCGCAAGAGCCTCTTATGCAAAAATGGTGGCTCATTAGGTATGCAAATGAGGCTCAGCGATATTCCACACTTAGCCTCATTTGCGTATTTCTCGCGCAAGAAGCTGCGAGTGTAGACGTAGCCAGAGAGAACTGCCTCCCATGCTGTCAAATTACAGGCAATGACATGCCTAGTGCAATCAGTGTCATACTACTAGAGAGCTTATAATATGTCCAGCCGTAATGTCACCATCGATACAGCTGGCTCTAGAGGTTGCTTAAAACTGGTTTGGGTTTCAGTAGATGAGCACATGCCACCTTCTCACGGCTCATTCCCAGCGTCCCACCCCACCTTCAGTCTGAGTCATGCTGGTGCGATGCCGCTAGCACACACAGCAAGCTGAATTGAATCGTCTGCACTCTCCTGTAACTCCAGCCAGGCCAGACTGACCCACACCTCTGGGAGCATAGTGGAGCCTGGCCTTCCCCACAGGACTGGGATCTAGAATGTCTGGTCCGTGGTTTCTCCCAAACCCTGTTTCTTATAGAACAAGGGAGCTAAGAAATACATGGCCAGGCTTGCAGATGCCTTTCCTTTGGCCCATGTGACTGAGGCATCCATCAGCACATAGCCCCTCCCTGTCCGACGTGCCCAGGGTACTTTCTGAATGGGTACAGATGTGTGTGGCAAAATAGTTTGTGAAACCTTTCGGTCTATTTTAAACATTTCCACGGCATGCTTTGCAGCGGCCTGGTACTCTGGGCTCTTCCACCCCAGCATGGGATGCAGCCCCTGTCCCTTCTTGCTGCTTCTGGGTATGGCTAGACTACAAGCTTTTGTTGGAAAAAGGTATGAAAAATGCGCTCCGCAGTTTGTGTACATTTTTCCGATTCTTTTGTCGAAAGAGGCTTTTTCAACATTTGGCCAGTTTAGACTGGGCCAAATGTTGAAAAAAAACCCCTCAGTTGGAAGCCCCCTTCTTCCTTGTAGAAGGAGGAATACAGGGGCTTCCGAAAAAGCGTGTTTGCTCTTCCGCAAAAAAAAGCAGAAGAGCAAATGTGTTCCCTGGATGTGGCGGAATTTTTTTGGGATACTTCTGGTCAGTGCTTTTTTTTCAAAAAAAAAGTGCCGGTACTCTAGGGGAAAAGTTGTTGAGCTCTGACTGGAGGAGCTGGTACTGCGTACCGGGCAGTACCGTCACAAAAAAAGCACTGCCTCTGGTATCCCCAAAAAATCCCACAGTCTAGCCTTGCCTTCTATCAGACGTATCCAGACATTACCCAGCCTGCTGCGTGCTGGATGGACCAACATGCCAACAGCCAGAACACTTGCATTCCCCATGCTCCAGCTGCCTGAGCAAGGACAGATCTCACCCCTCAGGGCAACATGAAGGAACACAGCATGAAGCAGAAAAGTCCTGGAGGTATCATGCTCCAAGTTTCTCACAGGAAGTGGGAAACCAGCCTGTACCAGGAAGAGTAATCTCAGGTCATCTCTCTGAGGGAGGCTGAGGGGGTGAGGGGCAGGAAGGGACAGGGAGGGAAATGACACAGGACCACTCGTGTTTTAAGCTATGTTTTTTAATACACGAAGGACAACGTGCCTCTAGTCCAGCTGGCCTGATCTGAAAGGGCAAGGGCAGAGGGTGATGGAGGGAGGATGAACAGATATGGCAGCAGGAGGGAAAAGAAGCCAGGCCTCACTTAGCTCAGAGAGAGAGCTGAGCCCTGAGAGCCACAGTAACATGCTGGGCCTTAGCTGGCAGGTGCAGAGACTCGTGTGGTTGGAAGGAATTAACCAGACCCTGTGCTGCCATCCCCCCGGCCTGTTGTGCGGGTTGCACTGCCATCAAGCCCGGCAGTGCCGAGGCACAAAGCTTGCTCTTACCTGCCACTGGAGAGCTGCTCCTTACAGCTGCAAGGAGATGCCGTGTTCCTGCTGTGGGACCTGGGAGTACGGACCAGGGCCCTTGCTTTGCGTTGTGAGCTCCCCCATGGTAAAACTACCTTTCCTGCCCAGCCTGGCTCCGCCTGGCTCCCTCCTCACCCCAGTGCTGCTGGTGGCTCCCAGGGCCCTGACGTCAGTGAAATCCAGGGATTTTCTTGGTTTAAGCTTTAATCCCCAGTCTGCTCGCTTCCCGCACTTCAGGCTTTCCCAGCCCACTGCACACTGGTCTAGAATGGAGGGGTCCAACCCCTTCTCTCCTGGCCTGTCTCTGCCTTGCCAGGCCAGAGTCTGAATCCCCAGTCCCACCACAGACCCACTGACCATGCCCTGCCCCCCAACTCCAGAGGGAAACACACGGGCACCTCTCACCATTCGCCTGGGTCCCTGAGCCCTTAAACCTGCCTGGCTGCCCAGGGCTCAGTATTCCAAAGGACTCCCAGGAAATAAAATACCCGGAAACAACTGGCAGCCCGTCCTAGTGCCCCTCGCTTCTTATTCGGCAACGGAGAAAGAGCGAGGGGGGAGCAATTCCACACAGGTCCCGTCCCAAACGTGCACAGAGCACTCCCCGTCTCGGGCCCTCTGCCGCTCACCTCCACCAAGGCTCGCCTGCTGCCTGTGACCCACATCCCATTTTCTCTGAACTCCCCGGCTGTGTCTACACTGGCATGGATTTCCGGAACTGCTTAAAACGGAATACTATTCCCTTTTCAGTTTTTCCGGAAAAGGAGCATCTACATTGGTAGGCTGCTTTTCCGGAAAAGCATCTGTGGCCAATGTAGACGCGCTTTTCCGGAAAAGAGCCCCGATCGCCATTTTCACGATTGGGTCTTTTTTCCGGAAAAGATTACTGGGCTGTCTACACTGGCCCTTTTCCGGAACAGCGTTCCGGAATAAGGACTTATGCCCGAGCAGGAGCAGAATAGTTTTTCCGGAATAGAGGCTGATTTTGTACAGTAGAGCATCGTTGCTTTTCCAGAAATTCAAGGGCCAGTGTAGACAGCTCGCAGCTTATTCCGGAAAAGCGGCTGATTTTCCAGAATAAGTGGCCCAGTGTAGACACAGCCCCCAAGTTTGGGGAGAGGTTCAGATACGTTGCCCTCTGTTAAATCCCTCTCTTCCACCACGCCAGGTCCTATTTCCCAGGGTCGCCTCCCAGCGGACTGACATTCACACTCCCGTGCGTCACGCCGCTGGTAACAGACCTTCTGGCAAGTTACTACGGTCCGCCAGGATTCACCGCTCCCATCGCTGCTCGGCTGCATCGGTCACTGCCAGGCAGCACAAACTGTGCAGCTGTGTCTGGTCCCTGCGAGGTGGTACTCAGTGCGGCAACAGCAGCACCAGTCACCCTGCCTCATGTGCTCTAAGCTGCAGCCTCCTGTCACAGGGTGCGGGCGGCTTGGCCTCTGGCAGTGTCTGGAGTGAGCCTCACCGCCTGCCCCTTTGTCCCGGTCTGTCTCTGTCCCAAGCAGAACTTCCAGCGAGGAGATTAAAGCCACAGGCCAGAGGCATTTGCTCTTTGCTCTCTCAGGGTTGCAAGCGCCTGGGAGATTGAATATTAATTCTGCCTAATGCCTCTGCCATGTGTGTGAGTTGGGGTTGAAACCATCTGGGCTTTGCAAACTATTTATAGCGGCTTCATCTCCTCTTGGCATCTGCACAGCCAGGCGATTAACCAGCGTGATGGACGGCACCTCCCTGGCTGCGGTGTGCAGCTCCCTCCCCCCTCCCCCATCCCCCGCGCATTCACAGCCAGGCCGCAGGCAGGGTGGGGAATTCCCAGGCTCCAGGAGAGGCCAGCCCAGCAGGACAGAGGCAGGCGCCCTCCAGAGCCAGATGGAGTCACACTGCTGTGAGCAAGAGGAGGATGGAGCCCAGCCGTTCCCCGGCTGCACTGGATGTGCCTGACCCTGGCAATCAGCAGCTGAGGGGATGGGAGCAGCCAAGAGGCTGTGGCTGTTGGGAAGGATCAGCCTTACCTGTGTCTTCAACCCTTCCATGGCCACTTAGGCGTCACTTCTCATCAGGACTGGTGGCTTTTGCAAGTCCTAGGCTGGAAACGCCTATGAGCAGGGAACAAAGGGTTAGACCCGAGGAAACGAGGGATTGCCGGGGGAGCCTGAGCTAGGGGAGGAGGGATCCCAGGTGGGGAACGGGGCAGGGCTGTCTGTTCGAATGGGACAGAGAGCTGAGGACAAGGGCAGGGGTTTCGGGTAAGCCGCTGGTGGGCCCAGGAGGCATTTGTCTAAGTGTCCGTAGCCACAGAGCCTCGCAGCTCCCATTGGCTGCGCTTCACTGTTTCCAGCCAAGGGGAGCTGCCTGGGCCACGCTGCTACATGCAGCTCCCCTTGGCTGGAAACGACGACCCACAGCGCCGCCAGGCTCCGTGCCACTTTGATAAAAAAAGCAGCTTACCCGCACGGACCCGCAACCCAGCAGGAAAGATGGACTGGCTCCGGGAAAGAAGCTGGACCCTAAGGCCAGAGCTCCGAGAGCGTGAGAACACACAGTAGCAACCCACCCTCTGCGTCTCTCGGGCTTTGCAGTCCAGCCTTTCCAGACCACCGTCCCGCCAGGAGTCTCATTTGTCCAGGTTCACTCACTTAAAAAGCGCTTACTCACAACGTCAGACAAAAGCATCACAGCGCACGGGTACTGAGAAATTCCCTCCTTTCTCATTTGTACCTTCTACTTACACAATCAAATCAGTTAAAATGCAAATGCTGTTTGTACAATGTAGTGTACAATGTCTAGAGCCGTATACAGAAGTCATTGTCTGTATGAAATCGTAGTCTGCACTGACATTGAGAATGTTTTTGATAGACCTGGTTGCAAAACTGGGCAAATGTCTAGATAAGCTGGTAAGATCCCTGCATACCCCACCGGTGCACCTACCCCTCCTTGAGAACCGCTGCCGTAAGCAAGCTAGCTAGCAACGCGTAGCACCTTTCAAACTGTCCAGTCCCCTTGCTCTCCTGCTGCTGGGATCCTGGCCCCAAAATCCCCCCCTGCTGGAGGCTCACTGCACCTGAAGAGACATGAGTCTATCTAGACATGGGCTACCAATGATTAGAGTAGCCAAGATGAAGACATTGATTTGTGGTCCACTCCGGGCATGGGATCCACGCACCCAAGGGACCCGTGTAGCACTGCCCCACCTGCCACCAAAGCCTCCCTCTTTCCCATGATTTCAGCTGTGGGTTAAAAGAACCTGGGGAAGCTCTTACCAGTCTCACTGCTGTCGTCCTCCAGCTTCCAGGGCTGATGAATTTGGGGCAGTCCTGCTGCCGCAGATGTTGTTAAGAGTGTCAGGAGCACTAATCCCTGTAGGCAGCCTCTCAGCACAGATTATTCTCCCTGCCTCTCCCTTGTGTAAGGGGGGGAACATCTGTCCAGGGGAGCTGTGCTGCTCTTCTCCTGGAATGCAACAAGCACCACAGGGCAGAGTGGGGGCTGCAGGAGTGGCTGGTTTTACCATGCCACCAGGTGGAAGAGTCATTAATCCCCACAGCACGCTCCTGGGGAGCTCACAGTCACACCTGGGACTGGGGCAGAGGGGCAGGAAGTGACCTGTCCAAGGCCACACGCAGGATCAATGGCAGAGCAAGAACCTGAACCAGGAGGTGTGATTCCCCAGCCCTGGTGCTCACTCTTGAGAAATGTGCCTCTGCAGGCTTGGGGGGTGATTTTTGGCTTATGGGCACAACCTGAAACTGGTGGCTATGTACTGGGCATGCCCCTGCCTGTGCGTTGTCACTGCTGCACTGTGACAATAGCGCCCACTAGCTCAATGACTCTGGGGCACCTTAGAGACTAACAGATGTATTGGAGCATTAGCTTTCGTGGGCAAAGACCCACTTCGTCAGATGAGGCCCCCCCCCCATTTGGGGGTGATCCCTGGGGGCTGCTGATGGGTTCTGTGGCTTCCATGAGTAACCCCCGCTGCTGGGGCCACTGAGACCCGTCACAAGAGAGGCCCAGGGTGTTCTCTAGCTGGCTCATGCAGGCTGCCGCAGAGAGCCCAGGTTGGGGGGCCTTGCCCACGCAGGCGAAGAGCGAGGCCCTGGGTGGCTCGGGAGTGGGGGGGAGGGTGTGCCCCAGGAAGGTTCGTGGCAGAGGAGGAATTGGATTCCTGGCCAGACCTTGCCACATGTGGCCAAGCAGACCAACCTCGGGGAAGCACAGCCAGGAGCTCTGGCCCCAGCTCCACCACTGGCTGTGGGGGAAGGCGCATGGTTCTGCCTCACGTTGTGCCTTGGTTTCCCTGCCTGCCAAGTGCTCCATGATGCAGGGTTCTGATGGAGGCGAGGGTCTCGCCTGGAGGTGCCTCCTCTGCAGAGAGCCCAGAGCGCTCTGCCCCTTTAAGAACGGCTGCGTTACCTGGCTCTGCCCCCTCGCTGCCAGCACCAGGCGCACGCTCATGCACAGGATCCCGACCCGGCTGGGCTCCAGGCAGGATGCGCTTTCACTGTGGCTCCCTCCATTGCCTCCTGGGTAGGATTGTCAGGTGTCTGGTATTCTACCGGAAATCTGGTTTTTGGGCCCTCTGTCCAGTAAAAAATTCCCCCAAAATACCGGACTCCTCTGCTGATGTACATTGAGCTAGTGTCAAGTATCAGAGGGGTGGCCGTGTTAGTCTGGATCTGCAAAAGCGACAAGGAGTCCTGCGGCACCTTATAGATGTATTGGAGCATAAGCTTTCGTGGGCAAAGACCCACTTCGTCAGATGCACCTGACTTCATCCATGCATCTGATGAAGTGGGTCTTTGCCCACGAAAGCTTATGCTCCAATACATCTATAAGGTGCCGCAGGACTCCTTGTCGCTTTTGCAGATCCAGACTAACACGGCCACCCCTCTGATACTTGACACTAGCTCAATGTACATCAGCAGAGGAGTCCGGTATTTTGGGGGAATTTTTTACTGGACAGAGGGCCCAAAAACCAGATTTCCGGTAGAATACCAGACACCTGACAATCCTACCCAGGAGGCAATGGAGGGAGCCACAGTGAAAGCGCATCCTGCCTGGAGCCCAGCCGGGTCGGGATCCTGTGCATGAGCGTGCGCCTGGTGCTGGCAGCGAGGGGGCAGAGCCAGGTAACGCAGCCGTTCTTAAAGGGGCAGAGCGCTCTGGGCTCTCTGCAGAGGAGGCACCTCCAGGCGAGACCCTCGCCTCCATCAGAACCCTGCATCATGGAGCACTTGGCAGGCAGGGAAACCAAGGCACAACGTGAGGCAGAACCATGCGCCTTCCCCCACAGCCAGTGGTGGAGCTGGGGCCAGAGCTCCTGGCTGTGCTTCCCCGAGGTTGGTCTGCTTGGCCACATGTGGCAAGGTCTGGCCAGGAATCCAATTCCTCCTCTGCCACGAACCTTCCTGGGGCACACCCTCCCCCCCACTCCCGAGCCACCCAGGGCCTCGCTCTTCGCCTGCGTGGGCAAGGCCCCCCAACCTGGGCTCTCTGCGGCAGCCTGCATGAGCCAGCTAGAGAACACCCTGGGCCTCTCTTGTGACGGGTCTCAGTGGCCCCAGCAGCGGGGGTTACTCATGGAAGCCACAGAACCCATCAGCAGCCCCCAGGGATCACCCCCAAATGGGGGGGGGGCCTCCAGAGAGGGGAAGGGGGGACATCAGGGAAAAAGGGGTAGGGGCAGTGAGGGAAGGGGGAGGCACCAGGAGGGTGAAGGGGTAAGGGAAGGTGCAGGTGCCAGGGGATTCTGGGGGTGAAGCAGA